CTCCTCCGCTCTTAAAAGATTTATCTATAAATAAAATCAATCCTTAAATATCGTTGCAGTAAAATCACATTACGGATCATATGATTTACTATATCATGACTATTTAGGTTAATAAAAAAAAAAAAGTGTTTATTACCTTGAAAGACAAGTATAGCAGCGGTGGAAACGATATCAATTAAACTAGCGATAAATCCACCATGTATCGCTCCAGACGAATTACAGTCTTTTGGGTCAACCACGTACTCAAAAATACATTTATCATGTTCGAAAGATATTAAACTTGTCCGGTCCCAAATGTTTTTTTGAAAGTAATCATGTGGAGGTAAGTTTTTGATATAATAATTGAATTTCTCTAACCGAGCTTTGAAATTTGTATCAGACATTTTTAGAACGGAAAAAAATTATTTACTATTGAACAAGTAACTGTGTGACATGAGGTAACATTTCACCTATTCAATCGGATAAATGATATTTTATTTAATAATGATTGTTCTATAAAAGTTAGCATGTGACGTTTTACAGACGACTATGAAAGTATTTATTTGTTTGTTTATTTATTATTAATTAATAATTTTTTTTTTTTTTTTTTTTCTAATTTTCTAATGATCGTTAGCTATATGAAGTTGTAAACATTGACGACTGCAACAAGCAACGCGCTGACATTTGGCACAAACTAATAATTTCCAAATTTCCTTGGTGCTTTTAGGTTCAAAATCACACTGTACACATATTGGTAAAACGTTTGGAATTCCTTTCTCCAAATTCTTTTGTAATAATCTCACTTTAGTGTGAGATTTTTTAATCAATTTATCTGCACTAAAAGAAATAGATGTTAACCCAATGTTTTCACAATCTTGATAAATTCGCAAAGCGTCAACGAAATCACGATCTAATTCCTTGGTGTTGGCCAAATTGAACAAGATGTGAACCCTACAAGCTTTACGTATTTGATTATTCTCGTGGGTTTGAAACCTTATAAATTGTGATTCATTCAAAGTTGAATCAAATTGTTTTAATATGGTTATCCCATCATCCCATAACTCAAAGTCACTTTCACGATCAAGTTGATATCGATATAATTCCGTTATACCGATAAATACTTCTAATATTAAGTTCATGTCCCAGAGAGTATAATTAATTAAGTTTATTAATTTCAGTGCTAAAAAGTAATTCCGTGCCGATAGTTCATAATTTGGTAATATTATGTCCTTGAATGACGATTCCTTGGAAGCGGATGAACCTTGTAACCCGTGTAAGTATAAGGATCCTAATTTTGCTGCGGCAAAAGCGGAACCGAGGTTGGACGTTCGTTGTAGGAGAGATACGTAAGCGGTATAATCCTTGGATTTGAGTTTCCTTTCGGCATCTTCCAAGAGCGTGGAGATTAATGTTGAAACATCCAATGAAGAATCCAGCTCCCCACTGTTATAATTCGGCGCTATCGTAGTTATCCTTCGAGAAGGAAGACCTTTTGTATCGTTGGATTCTTTTTCAACCACAGCATTGATGACTACAACGATGGGATCAACAAATTTCGATAGATCGTGACCCATTTTATCACGCAAGAGAAGATTTTATTTTATTATTTTATTTTAAATTTATTTATTATTATTTTTTTTTTTTTTTTTTTTTTTTTGGGGGAAGTGAGAAATTGGACGCGTATTTATAGGTGAATGAAAACAGGTGTTCCCCCAAAACGCCCAGCTAACTAGGCATCTAATGTAAAAACAATGCATGTGAAAACTCTCTGCAAACGTAATACTAGATTCCCTTGCCCACTATAAAGCATAAATGGAAGTCGTGTGGTGTAGTGTGAATTTGTGTGATGGATTTGTGTGATGGTTTTGGTATCCAAAGATTTTCTCACGTATTTAATATGTATCATACTTGATTTGGATAAGTTGGCGTTCATTTAAACGGACCCGACTCTCGCTTCTATTTTAACCAAATATTTATGATAAGATTTTCGTGCATTAAAAATAAAAACAAAAGAAATTACGGAGATGAAAAAACGTTTAAGAAATCAAGTTTATCAAACAATCAATCTATCACTATTGTTTTATTGTTTTATTGTTTCGAAAAAAATAAAAAAAAATAATTTAAAATTAAATTAACAAATGGCATCACTGCACGTGATTCCACCTGATTCGGAAATGAGACCAATATAAAAAGATTAGATATCTGAATATCGCCAAATATAGATCAAAATGGAACAACAACTACCAGAGGTTACGGTAATACTCTTGGATGGATCCAAGAATATGTTATCATCATCAAATCAATTAGAAACAAAATTTGATAGTTCAAGATATTTAATCTTACATTATTTACAAAAGTGCAAATGGAATACATTATCTGTGATATCATTCGCTTCTGAATGTCAAATTTTACACAGTTTTACCAAAAATCATGATTCGTTAATCATGACGATAAACGAGTAAATTTTCCCCTAAAATTTGACCTACAAATGTTAAATTCAAGTTAATTTGAATCATCGTCCTTTTCAAATATATCAGATGGAAATTTACACCCGAAGATTCCAACCGAGAAATGAAGGCAGCGTGCGAATTCGTTGAACAATATGTTACAAATACATTCGGTCCGGATCAAGTGTGTCAGATAATAATTTTAACGGATGGGAGTTCTCCACAAGGTGAATAAAAAAAAAAAAAAATTAAAATTAAAATCCCTCAACTTTCTCTTCAACTTAAAAACCAAAAATAAATGATAATTTAGGACGAGATCTTTCAGAGGAGGACGGGTCTCGACCGATACAATTTCGTAATCCATTATGGAAATTACATTTAATCTGTTTATCTGATGCGATAACAAAAAGTGAACATACACAATCAAAGTCACGAATTCTTGAAGAATATAAGAAATTGTTAAATCGTCGAATTCCTCAAAGAATCACAAAAAATCATCCAAAAGGCGTCTATACACTTGAAAAGGAAGGTGCGTTTTGTTACTTACCTTACCCACATTTTAAAGATTCGATTCTAAGCATGATGGATACCATCCTTGAGAAATATTGTATCCTTTTAATTCGGGTGTTTCAAAACATGATAGAGCACGATTTCATTGATACCCTTAACGAGAGATTCCCAAACAGTCTTGCCAAGTAGAGGATTACTTTTGTGCGGACAATTACGTTTTCCTATTAAAGTATATCCTGTACTCCCTGATGTAGACTACGGTAAAATCTCGTCAATTTAAATCGAATGTTAAAATATCTCTTTGGTATTTTATTGATAATATATATATATTTTTTCTATAGTTCATGAAATGACAAAGACATTGTCCATTGTTGCATTTAAATCAAAGGAAAAATTTCTTATAGAACCATCTATTCTTCGACTATGGATATTTATCGATGAAGAATATGGCGACAAAAAAGAGGAGGTAAACATGAGAAATGAATTTTTTTTCCTAGACTTTATCTTCTATTCATTATATGAAAAATCTCTTGAATTATTTATTGTAGGATAAACCTTTACAAAATCATTCTGAATTTTTTCCTGTATTAGGGGAATGTCTCAGAAAAGAAAATCGTGTCGCGATAGTTTGGATGAAAGGTGATAATTACGCTACAATCGAACCTCCTCCGATTACAGATGATCAAGATCCCAATGAGCAAGGTTCATGTAAGTTTCCATATGAGGATGCATATGGAAGATAGTGTTTGAATTTTACATCTTAATCTTCTACCTTAGTTATGTACTTCACCATATATAAATCTGAAAAAGGAAATAATTTGTTATCAAAATCGTCATCGTCATCTTCAATAACGCAACCACCGAAAAGCTATGTTTCCGGATATATAGATTTACCAACGCCCGAGCATGTTGAGGTAACATGTCGCAAATTAATTTCATTATGATTGTTCTCATTAGTTGAACCACGAAAATTCATTATTATTTTAGAGTTTGTTAAATAAGATGTCGCGCTATCTCATAAATTTACCTGATGACGCTCTGAAATTAAAGAACGTGTAAGTGGATTTTAATGAAAATTATATTTAAACATTTTTTTTTTTAATGATTAATTTATATTTTATTGCTCATCATCAAATTGGTACAAGGGTTCAACAAATGCAACAGATTATAGAGATCTTTAGTTACAGACCACTCAAAGAGCAAGTTATCGATAGGTTACATGATGTCAGGTAAGTACCTACAAATTATTTTCATAAAGATCTAATCATGTATTAAGATGTAATTTCATGCAGGATTCAAACTGTGGAGGCTGATATTAGACAAATACTTGCCGAGTGCTTATTAATGTTAGGCGAAGACATAGTATCTGAAAACGATGAGGATGATCAGTTTATTTATTATGAAGATTCTGAACAGAGAGAGGAAGATGATAATGAAGATGATGATAATATTAATAACCAAGTTTCTAGTCGAATATCTCTTAATGATTTACTGAACTAGTAAACCACGTGATTAATAAAATAAATGTTTTACTGTAAAAGTGTTTTATATTCTAAAAAAAAAAAAAATGTCAAAATCCCATTCACAGTTCATTTAGTTTTACTGTTACACGAAAATGGTTCATTAAAGTTCCGGAAAAAAATTTTTTCCGCACATCAATTTTTACTATTTAACAAAATTGTTTACATTGAATGATACTTTTTCCGTTGGAATTTGTATTCGTAGGTAATAATGATTATAAATTTACCGAGAAGTGAAGGCGGATACTTGGCATATTGGATGTTATTTGTTTCAATTTTAGCAATATTTAATACAATTCAAAATTTTCTTACGCTTTCTTTAACGAAGAGAGTTTATTCTGCAAGACCCAATCAAGGTAAACCAACTAATTCAAAAATGATTTTCACTTGAAGAAATTTTATTTATTCAACTTTTTGATTTCGAATATTTTTAGTCACGAAGTTAACGTCAAGAACATTTGCAACATGGACGTTCTTATCAGCTATCGTACGAATATATGCAGCATACAATATAACTGATGTAAAGTAAGTTCTTTCTACGTTTTTTACGTCTCAAAGCACCTTAATTTCACCTCATTTAATAACGTGTGTTTATAAATTTCTTTCAGTATTTATCAAATCGCAATCTGGACATATATAATTGCATCGTTCCATTTTATTACAGAATTTCTTTTTTTTAGGACTGCAACAATCAGTGCAGGATGGATATCCCCAATTATAATTGCAAGTAAGTTTGAATCTTTGTTATGATTTGTTCTTTAAAAAAGCTTTCAATGACACATAAATAAATCTTTTAAACTTTGGATTTTTTTTTTTTTAGTTTCATCTTTAGTTTGGATGTTACTTCAATATGATTATTATGTTCAATAAAATTGAAATCGTCTGATTTCTTGAATAAAATTATTTTTTTTTTTTAAAAAAAAAAAGACATCCAGATGACTGTTTTCACGAACGATATTCTTTTACATTAATAGAATTATTGGAATTACCCGTGTAAATATGATAACCGAACTCCTCATTTTGTTCTTTAATGTTCTTTATAAGAATAATTAATAGAACATTCGCTCTTCACACGTTCCATTGAGAAAATTTAACAAAAAAGACGCTTATAACATTTTA